TCTTGCATTGTCTAACCCCTCCATCATGATTTCCCCAATTACAGTGCCCCCACTTCCCCCCCTTTCTTCCTTACTAATACCCTTGCTCCTATGATCCTACCTCTGTTGAACTGCTTCTTTCTCCTTATCCCCTAGGTTCCTCATATACCCTTCCCTCCCCCTTCCCTTAGACTAACCCAATTTTTATCCATATCTCCCTTCTTAAGGTCTGTTGCCTACTTTATTTTTAAATCACCAATATTTATTAGACTGAAGTGCTACCACCACTCCCCGTACCCCATGGATTTTCTTATTGAATTATTGTTCTTTTTACTATTTTATTATTTTTATTTTATGTGTGAGTGTGGTGCCTGCATGTATGTAAGTGCACCCATGTCATGCAGTGCTCTCAGAGGTCAGAAGAAGATATCAGATCCCCTGGAACTAGCATTACGGATGGTTGTTAGCTACCGTGTGGGTGCTGGAAAAGAAACCAGAATCCTCTGCAAGAGCAGAGAGTGCCCTTAACCGCTGAGCCATCTCTCCAGCCCCTTATTTTTTTAATTGAATTTGTTCTTTGACAATTTTTAAAAATATTTTAGCTATTATTTTTATTTTATGTGTGTGTGTGTGTGTGTATTGCTTGCATGTAAGTAAGTGTACCTGTGTCATGCAGTGCTCCCTTTGTGTGACAACAGTCTCTGTTTTCTTTTGCCAGGTACCTGTTTGCTCTGCAGGTGAAGCAGGACTTGGCTCAAGGCAGGTTGACATGTAATGACACCAGTGCTGCTCTCTTGATCTCACATATCGTACAGTGTAAGTTCTGTTGGTTCATTTGAAAGACCTTTTGGAATCTGCAGTGTTCTGATCGATTGGGAGAAAAGTCATGTCCACAACAGGCACGCAGAAACAATAAGAATATCTGTGTCATTTTTACTGTCCTGGTAGAACAGAAAAGTGTACTCCTAATTTCATTTAATGTGCATAATCCCCAAACATAGACTTAGGACTTCCATGTTCTGGTGGTATTTGTCTAATTTCTTTTTTAATGGATAAATACATAGTTGTTATCTCAGGTATCTCAAAGGAGAAGCTTGGATGGATGGATGGTGGTCAGGTATACCAAACCTGTTTTGTCCCGCTCTTGGATTTAACATTCATCACTGAATATAGTTCCTTAGCCTTAGGACACAAAACTGCCACGGACTTCCTTCTCTAACACTTAGGGAGCAAGTGAACACTGTAGTCATAGGCAGCCACTGAAATTGAGGAGGACCACAAAAAGCAAGTGACTTAGATGAGGAAAGACCTGAAGTTTACTCTGGTACCAAAGGAAAACCTGAATGCTTAATTCTCTTATATTTAATGACAGAAAGGAGTTTGTTACAAGACTGACAAGAGTTAAGAGGCCCAAACTTAAGTCTAATACAAAATTTAGAACCTAGTCTTCACTGCTCTCATGGTCTGTTACTGTAAACTTGCCTAGTCACAAAAGTTCACCCCAAACCCACATTGTGCCCCTTCTTGGCCATTTGTGGACATACCTAGGACAGTGAGAATTTTGATTAATGCATTCCTAGCTAAGGTCTGACAAGATAAAGATCAGCCTTCACTTTCTGCTCTCATACTGTTAACAAGGGTCTTTCCACAGTCTATTTAGCACCATGCTTTTCAAATTTTTACACTGTTGTTGGTAATTCACTGTTTAAATTGGCCCCCAGTGTCCTGCTGAAGTGCTGCCTCAGTACACTGTGCTGTATGTAATAGAGAAAATACGTATGCTAAATGAGCTTCATTCAGTTGTGAGTTCTGCTATTGACCATCAGTTTAGTGTGAATGAATCAGCAGTATATATTATATTAAACAGCGGGTCCTGAAGTAGAACCATGAGACAAACCACTTGGATCGTGCCAATGTCTCAAGAGATTTTTCAGGAATCTAACCCCGAAATTCCCCCTTGGAGCAACAGTTTAGTAATTGCTAACTCACTGTTCACAGTGACTTTATAACTGTCTTTAATAACAAGAATCAACTCTACTTTCTCAAGAGCAGATAGAGAAATCGAAAAAAAAATTGTTTCTGTCAAGGCAGCCCTTAACAAGGTCATTTCTGTGCACTGTTGTCTGTGATACAGGGTAGCAATATTACGGCAGCTAGGGAAAGGGAATTCAGTTTCGAGACAGCCATTAGAAAACACAGTCACTGGGTGTAGCAGAAGTTAGTGAGTAAGGAATTCATCCAGTGGCCCAGATGTGGTAGGGGAGTTGGTATAGCCTTGTGCAGAGCAAGTATTTTTAGTAGATATGATTTGGGGCAGCATGTAGGCCATGTCCCACTTGATGGCAGGTGAATGGCCCAGGTGTGACAGGCTGCTTCACATGACAAAACGGAAGGTAGCTTTCATAAGAACCACACTCACTTTTCCCTAACAGCTGGGCCTTGGCCATTATGTGGCCCTTTATTAAGCTTGTTATACAGGGAGTAGGATGCAAAGAAAAAGGCATGCCACCCAGGGGTCTGACAGGTCTGAACCCAAGCTGATGATGTTAAGCTAAGGCAATTATTATTTTAAAGCTCTGGGCTTGAAATGTCCATGGTACATAGTGTAGCAATTTCAAGGTAGATGCTGAAGTTACATGAGGAAATCTGTTGTATTTCTTATGGATGAAAGGTTTCTGCAATTGCAATCTGGCCTATTATTTCTGACAAGAATATAAAAATTGTAATAAATTCTTAAAGTATAACACTTAACCTACTGACATCTTTAAAAAATTTTTTTTAACATTTACTAATTTTATGTGTGCATTTGGAGGTCAGAGGACAACTTATAGGAGTTGATTTCTTCCCTCCCTCCCTCCTTCCCTCCCTTCTTCTCTCCCTCCCTCCTTCTCCCTCTCTCTCCCTCTCTCTCTCTCTTTCTTTTTTTTTTTTTGTCTCACTCTTTACCCCTTGCTGACCTGGTACTGCCTATGTAGACCAGTCAAGGCTTGAACTCACAGAGATCCACCTGTCTCTGCCTCCCAAGAACTAGGATTAAAGTTGTGCTCCCCCAAACCTGCCATGGTTCTCTTTTTCTACCTGTGGGTTCTGGGAATTGCACGCAGGTTGTAAGCTTAGCAGTGTGTGTCTTTTATCAGCTGAGCCATCTCACTGTACCCCCCCATACACACACACACCCATCTTTTTTCCTCTATGATGAAGGATTTGAGTTTCTACATGAATAGTTGTTACATAAAAGTTTCAACAGTTGATTTTTGTGAAGTCCTGAAAGTTCAAGGCCTATTTAGAACTAGTCATGCAACAACCAGCCACACATGTAGAATTCACTACTGAGAAGGGAAATGACTCTCAGGAGGGAAGAAAGAGGAGTGGCTTTTAATGTTCTGTAGCCCAACTGGATAACTGTGGTTGACAGCAATTAATTGAATTGGGTTTTTTGGTCTTTTTTTTTTTTTTTTGAGACAGGGTCTCCCTGTAGCCCCAGCTGGCCTGGAACTACTATGTAGACCATGCTGGCCTTGAACTCACAAAGATCCACCTGCCTCTGCCTCCCAAGTGCTGGGACTACAGGTGTGTGCCACCACGCCTGGCTTAATTGAATTTTTTAAAATTGCTATTAGAATTTTGAACGTTTCCCAGAAAATAAATGATAAATGTCTGAATTGCTGGATGCAATGACCTGGATCTTGTGACTATACATTGTATACTTATATCAAAATGCCACACTGTAGCCTGTTGATATGTATGATTACCCGATGTCAAGATAACGATAAAATAATAACAACAGAAGGAAACCAGAGTATGTGTGACTCCAGATGGAAAATGATGAGGTTTTCTTTCCAACCACTAGAGTGAGAAGGGTAGAAAACATCCTTCAGGCTGTTCTTATTGTGAAACATGTACTTACATCCCCACTCTGATGGTGAGGCCTCCTGATGGTTGCCACCAGCTGGGCTCACCAGATGTTATCTGTTGACCCTCAGCTTGCTAGCTAGGGAATGTAACTGATTGTGAAGAGTTCATCCTATGTGGCCTGTTTTTTCTGTTTCTTTGTAGCTGAGATCGGGGATTTTGATGAAGCATTGGACAGAGAACATTTAGCAAAAAATAAGTACATACCTCAACAAGATGCACTAGAAGACAAAATTGTGGAGTTTCACCATAACCACATGTAAGTTGCATGCATAGCTTTGTGTTTCCCTTGAGCTTTTGCTTCCTGCCTCCAAGCACATGGATGTATGTGCACACACACACACACACACACACACACACACACACACACAGAGGCATACACATCATAGTGTGAAATATACAAAGTCTGAAGGAAGGAAAATGCAGAAGCTCACTGGGATGTGGATGACCAGGATGGTCTAGACCCTCAAAAATGCAGGGACAAGGGCTTGAGACCCCTGGCTTGTCTTTCCATGAGACTGGATGGCCTTGGGATGTAGAAGAGGGTGTTACACTGGAAGACCACCTGATTAAGGCATACACATCATAGTGTGAAATATACAAAGTCTGAAGGAAGGAAAATGCAGAAGCTCACTGGGATGTGGATGACCAGGATGGTCTAGACCCTCAAAAATGCAGGGACAAGGGCTTGAGACCCCTGGCTTGTCTTTCCATGAGACTGGATGGCCTTGGGATGTAGAAGAGGGTGTTACACTGGAAGACCACCTGATTATCAGCTTAACAGGAGATGGGAAAATTAATGTGACAAACCAAGAATGTGGGAAAATTCCAGAACCTTTGTGACAGCTCCATTTTTTGGTTCTTGTTTTGATCAGGAGAACATTTTCAAAGGATACTCAGAGCCTTTTTTCCTGGTGGCTTTGAGGCAGCCGTTTGTACCTAGAGACAGTGGGAGAGTTGCCTTGAATTGTGCTTACAAGCTTGCCTTACGGAAAGTGACTAAAGACTTGCTTAACAGAGTGGCGTTTTACTTTTCTGTGACCCAGAGGAAACTGAGATTCTAAAAAGCTGGCTGAGTTGGAGATAGACCTTTGGGGTTTTGTGTTACCCAAGCAATAGAGCTTTTGTCCTGACCGTGAGGCTTTGAGGTTAGCAAGTGGAGGCTGGGTGCCATCTGATCAGGCAGGCCCACTGCTTGCCATGAAGTGCCTTTTATTTCCCAAGAGAAGCTGCTTAATCTCAGATTATTAGACACGGGGAATTCAAATCTCTTGGCCTTTCTTTTCTCTGTTTGCTTTGTCAGTGGACAAACCCCAGCAGAGTCAGATTTCCAACTCCTGGAGGTGGCCCGTCGGCTGGAGATGTACGGAATCCGGTTGCACCCGGCCAAGGACAGGGAAGGCACCAAGATCAACCTGGCTGTCGCCAACACGGGAATTCTAGTGTTTCAGGTGTGGAGAACATAGCGCCGGTCCCTTGGTGAGGGAGGACAGAGGGGGCTCTTCCATCCTGGTTCACGGGGGTGGCCAAGCTCAGACTTCTGGTTACTATTTTCAAGTGTTTCTGCCCCTAGACCTTCAGCTTCCAGATTGGTTTGTTTTTGTATCCATCCTTGTCCTATTAGAGAATCCGTGTTATGGATTTATTTGGGTTTATAGACATTGCATGGCCATAGAAATTTGTGTCTCTCGGTGGACCTATGCTGAGAACACTGTATACTGGAATGATGATCTCCAGTCATATAAACACCTTTTCATATGTGGTGGTGATGTTTTGACATTTTGTTAAAATGTATTCCTTTTTCCCCTTCTGAATCTTAATTTGTGTTCAGCCTGCTTATTTGGGACTTCAGATATACCCAACTTGGAAAATCATGATTGTACTTTTGAGGTAGAACAGTCTTTTATAATGCACCGTAGCAATTTTGGAGCAGACTAATTCTGTACTTGACTTCTTAACCGTACTTTACTTAAGGGCATAGTGACTTTTTGCTCTTCTAAATGTGTCTGTTCTTTATCATCTGACTATTAGATTGCTTTATTGACCAAAGCTTGTCTCTTAATAGCCTCATTAAAGTATTATTGGTAGATGTGCACATAAAGTGGGCAGTCTTACAGGTTCATTTACATACATATTTGAATCTTGTGAAACCATCAGTGAAATCACAATAATGAATACCCCTGCATTAATAACCCCTTTTCTATTATGCTAAATACCTGAGGCTAGTTAACATAAAGAAAGGGGATTTACTTAATCATCATTTGGTGAATGTAAGTTGCAAACAATATAGCATGGTTCCTAGATACCCTGCCCCCTTTCCCTGCATCCCTCACAGTGGTGGAAGATACCACTGAGGCCTGAACACATGCCAGAGAGACCCCAGCAGGAAGCCACACAGCCAATGGGGTCTCTGGAAAACTACATTAATCCCCTTCCTGGAAAACTACATTAATACCTTCCACTAGGACCCACCCTTTAAAGGTGTCGCTGCCTCTACACTAGTGACCAAGTCAACCTTTGGGGATACACATAAACTATACCCAAACCACAACCCCCCCCACCAAATGTTTCCTTCCTTCCTTCCTTCCTCCCTCCCTCCCTCCCTCCCTCCCTCCCGTCTCACTATATAGCCCTGACTGGCCTTGAGCTCTCTATGTAGATCAGGCTATCTTCAAACTCAGAGTTTTGCCTACCTCTGCTTCCTGAGTGCTAGGACTAAAGGTATGTGTCACCATACCTGGCTTAGTACATTTCTTTTAAACTTAAGCAGGATGGGGCCAGTGAGATGGCTCAGTAGGTAAGTGGGACCTGTCACCAAACCTGATAATCTGAGTTCGATCTTCAGGACCTACATGGTAGAAGGGAAAAACTAACTCCTGCAAGTTGTCTGCTCACCTCCATACAAATGCTATAGCATGTATTCATCCCCCCCACACACAAATAAATAAAATTTAAAGAAGCTGGAGAGATGGCTCAGTGGTTGAGTGTATATTATTCTTACAGAGAACCTGAGTTCTGATCCCACACTCATGCTGGACAGTTTACAACTGCCTACAACTCCAACTCCAGGAGATCCTAAACCTCTGATCTCCCCCTACACCTACACTCATTTGCAGACACACAAATCTATAACATGCTGGGTGTGGTGGTGCACATCCTTAAACCCAGCCCTCAGGAGGCAGAGGCAGGCAGATCCCTGTGAGATTGAGGCCAGCGTGGTCTACATAGTGACTTCCAGGTTAGCTGGGACTAGAGAGACCCTGTCAAAAACAAACAAACAAACAAAAAAACCCTCAAATTGAAAAAAAAAATCTATACAAAAGAAAATAAAATGTAATTTAAAATAAAAAATAAACAGCAAACTGAAGAGATGGCACAGTGGTTAAGAACATTGGCTGTTCTTGCAGAGGACCCAGGTTCATTTCCCAGAATCCATATAGTAACTAACAACTGTCTTTAACTCCAGTTTCAGGGGTTCTAATACCCTCTTCTGATCTCCATGGGGATTGCATGACATGAGTGCACTTGCATACATGCAGGCAATATACTTATATACATAAAAACAACAAATAAAATATTTAAAAATTAATTAACCGTAAGCAGATAATCTGTACTTAAGTTTGAGTGGATATATTGAAAGTGCCTGCCTATTTTTATGAAACTGGTCAAGTTTTCCCCAGTTTGAAGTTATAAATATGTACATGACCTAAATGCTTTTGTGAGCTTTGCATATTTGAAGAGATGCAGAAGGGGCTGGGGAGATGTTCAGCCAGTAAAGTACTTGCCATGTAAGCATGAAGACCTGAATTCAGAGCCCCAATACTCACTTGGTGGCATATATCTATAATCCCAACACTGGAAGGAGACAAAAGGATCCTTGGCGCTCACTGTCCAAATTGGTGAGCTCCAGGTTCAAGGAGACCCTGACTTAAAAACAAGATGGAGAGTAACCCGACATCGTCCTGTGTCTTACGCTGAGAAAGGAATTGCAGTTCTCTGTTCATGTGTAAGATACATTTATGACATGTGCTAAATATCACATTATCACCCCAGAAGAGCTGGGGTTAAGCCTTATATCTGGTGGTAGGAGTGGTATTTTGAGAGCAAGACGGTATTTGAGGTGTGTCTGTTCCTAACAGTTTTTGACCTGTGTAAATAACCAATGAACGACCTGATAAGAAAACAATGAAACCAAATGTTATTTCGTTATGACCATTAAATTTCAAAATTACAAACTTGAAACATTTTTGAAAATCATAAAGAGAGAAAAGTTCATTGCAATTTAGTTAATTTGCTTTGATTGTATTTGATACAATCGAAATATTGAGAGCTGCTGGATAATTTAATCTTGTGCAAAAGGCAGTACCGTGGAATTAATCTTCTAGTTTATACCTAATTGCTCTATCCCTACCACTTCAAATGAGTGGGCCTGGTGTTCACCAGGTCCTAGAAGAATCCTTATTTCAGTAGAGTCACGACAGGTGGGAATTTGAGTTTGGTAACCCCTTCTTTCTCCCCACACCCCACCTGTCCAAGGACACTTAGGAAATGGGAGCCGCACCCAGAGTCTATGCGTCCTGGCCTAGAAGTTGCACTACAGGCCTGCATTCCTTTCTCATTCTATCTGGTGCTGTGGGAAGCCTGGTAGGCATAGGAAACAGACCAGCGGCAATGAATGAGGCCAACTGCCCCTGGTGTATAGTAACCATAGCGACTAGTCAAGGCATGCACCCTGAAATTTCTCTCTGCCATGTTAGCTGTGTGATTTGGGGCAAATGAAAAAAAATTAAAAATATATATGATATATATCATATGTATATAAACAACATATAGTTGTATGTTTCCACTTCTATAAAACGAAGATAATCTGTCTCACTGGGCTTTGTGTGAAGTCTGCTGGGATAAGGTCTAAAAAGCCCCTAAGACAATATCTGGCCCTCCATGAGTGATGGTTGTTAATTGCTCTGGTGGCTGTCATGGTTTTATTGTTATTTATCTTATCATTACCTTGACCAGCACCTTCTCTTCTTAGGGCAGACATGGTTTGAATACCAAACTGTATAATTAGAAATGAGGTAGACGTGCATATCACCCGATTAACACAGACCCTGGGAAAAGCTGTTTCCTGAGCCATCGACCCTCAGCCCTCTGCCTGCAGCTCCCTCCGGGCTTGTGTACGTAGCCTGGCTCACTGGCTGCTCTTTTTCTTAGGGTTTCACGAAGATCAATGCTTTTAACTGGGCCAAGGTGCGGAAGCTGAGCTTCAAGAGGAAGCGCTTTCTTATCAAGCTCCGACCCGATGTGAACGTAAGTGGCTTGGGAACATGAAGTGTGGGGAGCAGCTGAGCCATGGATGGAGCATTGCCAGAGGGTGAGATCTGCACTTGGCAGGACTTTACAGAAGCTCGGCCAGGATGCCACCCTGGTGCATCTGTAAAAATGAACTACGGAGGAGCTAGAGAATTGGCTCAATAGTTAAGAGCACTGGCTGCCCTTGCAGAGGACCTGAGTTCTTCCCAGAACCACAATCGGGATAAAAACCATTTCTAATTCAGTTCCAGGGGATCCGACACCACCTTCTATCCTCTACAGCATTGCACACATGTCTTACATGCAGACAACACACTCATGCACATAAAATTTTTTATTTCAAAAGGACTATGGAGTATCTGTGGCTAGCTGTATCCAAAGGCTTGGGAACTCTCTTGATGTCGTGCTGGGTTCCCAGGGGGAAGAAAAAGAGGGTACACAGTTGTATACCAAGGGAGACGGTCATTTCCCTTACAACTACAGGTAGCCCTTTCTTGAGGAACAACTTGAGCTTTGTTTCAACTGTGTATCTGGCCCTTGGCTCTGCCTTGGGACCCCAGTCAGTGTTCCTCCGTATTCCCAGCATACCCTCCCTTGCCCACTCAGAAGCAGTCCTGACTCTCCAGTTCCTACTTTTGCACTCACACCTTCAGGAGCTCATTCTCATGGACTAAACATACTTCACCACCTTCTATGGAACCCCTGGAGGTGTCTCCCACACCAGCTTGGTTCAGGAAAGGGAACAATGGCATCTTCATCTGCCAAAAGCCACACAGGAGATGGATGTGCATCCCTAGTGTCTGTCCCATCCAGGACTCTTGAGCCCTTTTTCCCATGGGAAAAAAAAGATCAGTTGCAGTCTAGTCTCAGAGTTTAGCTCTAGTTTGGATTAAGTAGACTAATATGGCCTGACTGGGGAGCAAAACCCATAATAAACGATTCTCTGTGGGAAAATGCAATTTGAGTTCCAAAAAGCTGATTTACACAGGAAGAACTCTAACACAAGTTGAGTTGCTCAAACTGTGACATCCCCTAAAATAGTTGGAGCTGGGACTCTTAAGGACTTTGGTAACTTTTGTTTATGTAATATGGCCATTGAAATTGGGAACATTTAGTGTGGGAGTAGAAAAATTACCATATTCTTTCCATAATCAAAGGACACAAATTTTTCAGCTGAGAGTCATTAATACTTTCGTGTTCCAGGAAAAAGAAAGTTTCATTTCCTATGTTGTTCTTGGGCCCACCTGAAGGCATGTGCCATATGCTGTTTTATAAAGAAATAGAATTAAAAGTCAGCCTTGACAGGAACCCCGAGTAAGAAAATGAGGAAGAAATGCATTTCAATTATTTTAAAGGGGAAAAAAAAGGAACTGTAATAGCTGGACTATTTTTAAGAAGGCAGTATAAGCCAGGCAAACGCAATTTGTTTACGGATTCTGTCAAAGAAATGTTATCGCTTCCACTCAGTGAGTGTCTGTTCCTCATTAGTTCCTCTGAGGAAGTCTGAAGAGAAGGTGGTGGGAAAGTGACTGCCTCGTTGTATGGGACAAGCACATTTTGCTCAGTCTTTGGATTAATATAATCTTATCGTAATAAAACACAAATTTTTATTGGACAAATTCATTTCTGTTCCTTTTCTTTTACTTCAACAGAATGATTGTGAGCAGTGGAGAGAAAATAAATTTTGTGTCTCTTTTTAGAGCTCATACCAGGATACCTTGGAGTTTCTGATGGCCAGTCGAGATTTTTGCAAGTCCTTCTGGAAAATCTGTGTTGAACATCACGCCTTCTTTAGACTTTTTGAAGAGCCAAAGCCCAAGCCCAAGCCTGTTCTGTTCAGCCGAGGGTCATCGTTCCGGTTCAGGTGAGCATACCCTGTCACACTGCACTGTGTCTGCCATGTGAACATTCTCCTCAGACCCATCACACTTACTATGATGCACAACAGATTGATGAGGCAACAGTGGTTGGACCTGTGGGGCTGTGGCTGATGAACAACATGCCTGTCTTTTTCTGTTGGAATCTTTGGAAAGCCACTGATGATCCATCCAGTCACAATCAAATACCATCACAAAGTCATATTATTATTTTATTATTATTGTTGTTTGAGAATTTCATACGTGAATGTATGTTTTGATCAAATCTATCACTCATTCCTTCCCTTCCAATTCCTCTACCACCACTTCCCCTCCCAGCTTCATGTATTCTTTTTTTAAAATTCATTGAATCCACTCAGTGTTACCAGTGCATGTGCGGGTGTAGAGCCGTCAGTCAGAACATGGACAGTGTATCAGAGGCCACACTTGACGAAAACTTTCTGTCTGCCAGCAGCCATCAGTTGCCAACAGCTCCGCAACTAGGGTGGGACTTCCTGAAATTTAGTTTTTAATGGTACTGGGTAACCAAACCCAGGGCCTTGTGCTTGCCAGACAAGTGCTCTGCCACTGAGTCACACTCCTACGGTCAGCTACTTTCTAACCCAGAAAGTGGTTTCTTTATTTGTCTTAGGTGTTGCCTCATAAAATGCATAGACTTGACCTTGTTTGGTTTACTTTTCCATTCATTGCATGCCAATGCTGAGAGTCTACCGGGTGCCAAATACCAGCTTAGGCATTGATGGTAAACCAGATTTTCCCTCCATTTATAGAAGGTGCAGACTTCTGGGGTGGCTGCCTCACAACCAAATAGGGTTATTGAGCAGGTTTATTTAATCAAATGCTTTGTTTATTACACATAAGGAAAACATCAAGCGATCAATGAACACAAAAACCCAGGTTCTCTTAAGATTGCTTTTATCCTTGGCTAGCTGAGAAAGCACACACATCTCGCAGGTACAGAAGGAGGACAGGCAACGGTGACTGTGGTGTCCCTATGTTTAAGTACAGATGCTCCATTCCATGTCTTCTCCCTTTCCTTTTGTGGCCTTCATTTTAGTGGTCGGACTCAGAAGCAAGTTCTCGACTACGTTAAAGAAGGAGGACACAAGAAAGTGCAGTTTGAAAGGTAAGAGGCGCTTTGGTGCCGGGTCCATTCACTCTAGGAAATAACAGTTTATTACTGCTGAGTGCTTCTTCACCCAGCCTGGGGTGAAGTACAGATTCCTGCTGCACCGTCAGCCTCAGTAAGTTGGGGTTTGAACAGGGACATTTTAAGGCCCTGAGTACTCTCTCAAGATGAGATGAGATGAGAAGATGCTGATGTAAGGAAGGAATGATGATAGAGGGCAAAGTATGGCAAGTACAGAGACCACAGCATCCTGATAGCCTGCTGTGTTCCTCTGGGAGTCCTTGCATACTTGAGGATGTGAATTGCAAGTGTTTCTATTAACTTTAATTAGGGAAAGGCAGGGAGAGAAGCAGAAGGATTTATTGCTATTGTTGTTTCTAGCAAATGCTCTTGGCTTCCAGTGCTGGCACTGTCCAGAGCTCCCCCCCCCCCCCCCCAGGTTTTTTCTTTTAGTTTTTCCTCTGTTTGGTTGTGGTGTTTTTTTTTTTTTTTTTTTTTTACAAATCTCTTTGTGTCCAAGGGTGGGCTCCTGCCGGGGCCCCCCCCCCCCCCCGCAAGTTATGTTACTGAGTCTTTACACTGGCTATGTGTGGTCATTGATATTTTATTCTCTGCTTAAACGTGGAGACCCTGAGACTCTTAAGACATGAAGTAAATAGTCCAGGTCTCCTAATGGGAAAGTTGCCTCTGGACAGTTGACTCCTGAATTCAGTGCCCTTCAGCACTGCTGTGCCACCCAAAGGAGAAGCAGAGCCCAAGTGGGACTTTTAGGACATTGAGTATTTACCCTAGCATATACAGAGGATGTAGCTACACTCATGTTCTTAAACTTAGAGTTAACAACCCAAGTTAACTCAGGTCAGGCAATAGCAACCTAGAAATCTGAAGTCTCTGAGCACTGTCCTAACACCCCACATGGAAAATCCCACCCTTGATCACTTGCAATATCACAGTCAAACTGTTCAAAATTATTATAAATATTAGATAAACCCGTCTTCAGGTTATGTGTATAAGGTGTAAATGAAGCATAAGTGAATTTCATGTTCAGATTGGGATCCTCTCTCCAAGATGCCTCATTATATACGTGTGAATGTTTCAAAACCCAAAACACTTCTGGTCCAAAGCATTTCAGACAAAAGATGCCCAACCTGGATTAATATTTTGATCTACTTCTTTCTGAGGTTCTTTTTCTTTTGCTTGTTGCTATTATGATTACCAGAAATGTCTAAAACCTCTTTGGACTGCAACCATCCTTGATTCCCACCTTGTCCAGATTTATGATCCTTTGGAATTCATATTCATATTTGTGCATCCCCCCTCCCCCCAAAGAAGTATTGCCCTGGATGTGTAGTTTGAAAATACTGTTGTACTATCTGAAATTCTCATTTTGCTTTTTTTAAGTTTTATTTTTAATTATGTGTATATGTTTGTATCTGTGTGTGGATATGTGCAGTATGAGCACAGTGCCTTTGTAGGCCGGAAGAGGACTTTAGATATCCTGGAGCTGGAGCTACAGGCAGTTGTGAGCTGCCTTCCCAGTATGGGTGCTGAGAACTGAACTTAGGCCCTTACAAGAGCAATACACATGCTTATCCACCAAGCCATCACTTAGCCCTCAGTTTACTTTCCTAACATACTGTTTTTGAGCTCTTTTTGGGTGTCCTATACTATTATAGTATTGTACCTTTTATCCATCTCATTCCCTATTGATAGACATTCAGGTTGTTTTGTCCTGACATTACTGAAAGAAGCCTGATGTGAATCACTCATGTTTTCTCATGTCCTTTTCCCAGAAATGAGGTGTCAGGAGCCCTATTGTTTTCTTAGATGATTAGCAATTAACATTTTGAGGACCATGTAGGAGGTATCGCTGATTGTCCGTATAGATGCTCCATCCACTAGGACCTTTCCGTGTGAATAAAAGATGCATGCACATCGGAATGTATGTATACCATCTCATGAGTTCAAGTACTGAACAGTGTCTAATGCCTGTTCAGTGGGGATAGGGAGGACAAAATAAAGGAGATGGGTTGGTGACACAGAACTCCTTTCCTTGTTCTGTTGAGTCTGTGAATTTATTTTCAGGGAGCCTTTTTCTCCTGGACTCACACTTTGATAGAGTAAATGGTCTATGGAAATTGCTTCTGTCATAGGACTGGTCTAGAAAATATTGAACCAAATACCTGAATTGATATTCATATTGTTAGACAGCTTAGGGTTCAGAGCCTTTGAGGCTCAGTGGTTATACCTGTTCCCTGACCTTTCTCATAGCAAGAAGGCAGAGCTCAGTCATTCCCATTCATTCAGCAACCAGAACAGGGGGCTCAGGAGAACTTGGGGATGTACATGATTCCTGGACCGCACAAGTGCTAGGAAAAGATAATCGTTTGTCTGTCACACTTACAAAAGCAACTCTTTCATTACCTTCATGATTGAAGGACCTGATGCTTCAAACAAAAGGTGTTTGATTAAAACAAAGCTCTCCTGACTTTAGCTATTTTGTGTGCTTTTTTTACCCAGAAAACATAGCAAGATCCATTCCATCAGGAGCCTTGCTACAGAGCCCACAGCACTGAATTCAGAAGTGCCAAAACAGGTCAGTGATAGTCACAGACAATTAGAGCTGTTTTTCCCTATTTCAACTAAGCTTTGGGCTTACCTAGTGTGCTTTCCAGTCTGCTCTCTTCTACGTCAGGGGTTTGGTTCAGATGTGTATCTGGTTCTGAGCTGCCTTTGGGCCCTGCACTGAGCCTAAACACCGCAGGCCTGGGGTGTGGCTTGTTTTCAGCTGCCGGTTCATACTGAGTCCCTGAGAAGTTTGTTCAGTTGGCCTGAACTGAGTTTGAGGGTAGACACATGCATGGCAGCCAGTGATGCCAAGCTACCCCCTCCACCCCCAGCTAAATGGATCTGTTGTGCAAAGAGATGGGGACCTATTTGGCAGCTGTAGAATATAGCTCCTACTTGGTACCAGGGTGGGAAGCCAGTGCTGGCAGTGAGTCAAGGCAGCAGCTACACTGGTAGCAGAAGTCATCACTCTCGCCGAGGGTGACAAGTGTTCACTGACCCCGGTGTTGATGTCTCCATTCAGAATTTTCTCTCAGAAAAAGTAAGAACCTTATGGAAGAGCATGGATGTGGTTTCACTGTATGGCTCCAATGTCAGCCCTTTACACTTAAGCAGAGTTGTTTGTGACTTTTCTGAAGCCTGTGTGATCTGTAGTGGGTTTCTCTGCTGTCCCTCCTGACCCTTGTCTGGACCGCCCAGCATGGGCTAAAAGGCTATCTGCTGCATAGACACTTCTGGAAGCACCACCTGCATTGAGGGTCCTAGAAAGCAGAGATGGTGCATAACTTATGTTGGGGACCTAGCCTGGTCCACATTTCTGCCCTGAAGGAGCTTTGTGAATCATGATAAATGCACGTATATGAGTTCCACTTCTTTCCACATGGTCCAGCCCCGGGGAGGCCAGTGTAGCCTCTATGTGTAAGGAGATGCTATTAGACTCTTCCCTTTCCTTTCCCCTAGTGTAACAATCTCCCTTCATCCTTTTCCTGTCCTATCCACCCAGTCTCCACAGAGCACCAGCCTTACCTTTGGAGAAGGTACTGAGTCTCCCGGTAGCCAGAGCTGCCAGCAAGCAAAGGAAGCAAAAGTTTCCACTGTGGAGTTGGGGCCACACCAAAGCCCTGCTCTGTCTAAGAGTCCTCCGGGGAGCAAGCCTGCAGATGGAACCATCACGGTGCCGCCCGAGGAAGAGGAAGAGGAGGAGGGCGGCAAAGATGGCATCCAGCCTAGTAAACCTCAGCCCCAACAACCAAGCACAGGTCCAGCATCCTGGGCTGCTGGAGGCAGCAGCACCTCCATCCCTTTCATTGACTGCAGTGATGTAGATAGTGAATATGACCTTCTCAGAGAACCAGGGTCCCAGTCACGGTCCCAAACAAATGACAATTATGAGGGTGATTTGACCAGTGGTGTTTATCTGCTGTCTAGGGATGAGAGGCGAGCAGAGGCTAAGCACAGGGCTTCCCCTCCCTCTATGAAGTCCTCCCGGCCTCCTTCTAGAGAATTCCTTGATGATGACTCAGCAGATATTACCTTTGATATGAGTGGGAGCCCTGGGCTCCCAAGACATAGCTCCCTGATAGATGAAATGTTCAGAGCCTCTGCTGGTCACAGCCCCCTGGCCACCCCCTTGTCCCCCTGTAGCAGAAGCTCAAGTCCAAATATGAGTTGGGACAGAACTGGGTCCCAAGGCTATGTTTCTGAAAACGGACATGACCTTAGGGAGAAAAGTGTGGGAGAAGACACTGTCCCAAACCAGGATTCTCACCACGAAAACTCCCCTGCCCTGCAAAGGCCCTACTTGCGGAATCTTCCAAGTAGATACAATAAGTCAGAGACAGATCCGCTCATCCTTAGCCAGGCAGCCCCCACTCCAGAGGCCATGGATAGGCTTGATGACCAGGAAGAGGAAGGGCTGGCCAACATGGCCACTTCTCCAGGTAGGATGCTAGCCAATGGTACCCCTCTCACAGATCCCACCTCAAAGGTCCCCATTGTGAAATCCATGTGTACTGATAGTGTGGTAGGCCAGCTGGCACCTCTGCAAGTGACCGAGTGTTCCACCAGCAGTGGGACTGAATCCAGTGATTCAGACTCTGCCATGGTGAGCCCCTCAAGCCAATCCCTAGCCTTTGGTCACCCAGCAGGCCAGAGCTCCCCTTTCAGGCTGAAGAGTCAGAAGGTTTTGCGTGGATTGCATGTGAGTGAGGAGGAAGGGGAGGATGAGTGAGGAGGCTGGGAAGGCAGGTGGTCAGTGGTTGGTTACATGGAGTCAAGAAACCAGAATTGCCACAGGGTCTCTTCTAGTGACTCATTCATTTTTGGTCAACATTTGTTAGATGAGGTTTGGGACAGGCTCTTGTTTAAATGGGGCATGCCTGACCCTAAAACTTTACACAAGGGCTTGCTTTCCAGAAAATCTGGGACAAGGTAAATAGCAAGTCCTAAGGACAAGTTACTAGGTGAGCATTTGCTGACTGAAGGCAGGAAGAAATCCTTTATGATGAATCAGATAATATGTGTAGTGTTATATTTACATGGCAATTTCTGTGTGTGTTCAGTCTTGTGTGCAGATCCCCCTCTTATTGGCTGAGGGTTTGACCAAAATGTATTGAGATCGGAGAAAGAATTTGCTTTTACCCTTCTTTGACCTCGTTAAAAGGAGGGCTACTTTTCTGTGCCTCATAAAGAAGCATGGACAAATTTCAAGGCCAAGTATAAGTTGATTGCTAGTTGAGATTGTGTTTGTGAAATCATATTCAAGAATAATGGATATTTTAATGGGAAGAGTGTGGGGTTCTTTTGGCTTTCCAGACTTCCTGGGAAATGTGTAAAAGTTGTCAACAGATGATCATTTACTTGGGATTGCTGATTTGTTTGGGTTTGCATTGGGGAATCAAACTGTCAGTTGTTTAGGAAGTCAGTCTCTGGCTCTCAGAATCTTCTTGGTGAAACAGAGATGCTATTGAGCAGTGATGTAGGGAAAATTAATAGGCACCACTGGCCCCAGCAGCCAACCAAATGCCCGCCTGTCGATCTGGCACAGCACAGATACTGGCAGCTCTGTGATATCACTGCCCTTGGTTTTATTCATTCTTATGAACCTTGTCTCCTATTGGGAACTCAACCCTCGATGTTTCTCTGAGCCGTGAAGAAAGCAGGTACAAGCAGCTAGTAATGACTTCTTTTTAAACTTTGCCCATATCTGTCTGTCATTCAGCATTTGTGATCAAGGAGCCTAGGGTTTTAGCTCACGTTGTGTTTCTTCCTCAGCTGTGCTTTGACATCCTCTGAGCTATTGTCAGAATGAGTGATGCTTAGCTCTGACCCGGGAGATTGGGATGTGTTGGCTTAGCTGCCAGCTTACACTCCCCAGATGGCTCTATGGGGGCAGCCTGGGTCCCTTCTCCGCCAGACCTGATGGCTCTATGGAATCTAGTGGAACATACTGGAAATGTTAGCTCAGTCACTGACTTACTTGCTGGGGAGTAAGGAAAGCCTCCCAAATGAAATGCTTTTTTGAAAAATGTCTGTATTTGTGCTTTTCAGCCTTTGATACTTTTAAATTGTAAATAACAGTTTTAGATCATACATAACTACAAAATTTTGAAGGGAATTGTAAAGATAATACACCCTTGTTGTCCCACCATGAGTCTTACAAGACTCACCCTGTGACATCACAGAGGAAGAGCTGGGCTTGTTCAGGAAGCAGAATAGAACTTGACAGCAGGATATCACAAATTGAAGTGGGATTCTTAAAGGTTCTTCTGTCCACACCAATGTCAAGAAGTCAAGTTTTAAAGATTCAGAGGGCCTCATCCATTTTTATACATGCAGTTTTGCTTTAGTTTCCTGATCATTTGATTCAGTGCATGATTGATGAATCAAACCGATTACTGGATATTTGTTGACAGTTGTTCATTGAACTGTTCTATCTAAATCTTGTTTTAGATCAGTATATAATCAACAGAATTGTAAAACTGGAAGGAGACTTTAGCAGTCACCTAGGCGAACTTTCACTGTGGATGAGAAACCTCACTCTGATGGGGTTAAGTGACTTCAAATAGTAGTCAGTGTGGTACCTTAAAGCTGAAACTTATCACCTTGGTTATTTGACTTCGACTCTCTTCTTTGTGATTTCTTAGTGCAATAGAACCTTTTAGAATCTACATTTTAATTTTGGAGAATCTTGTGTGCATTCATATTTAAAATTAGTTGTGAAATCTTGGATCATATCGATTTGACTTAGACAATTAGAAGCCATAGGGATGGGGAGAAGAGCTACTCTTTATATTGTGGAGCGTTTGCTGTTTTAACATGTTTTGCATATCGTTTAGTCTTAGAAAAAGCTATCAATTTGGTATATGAAAGCTTTGTCAAAGGGGGCTGAGCAGAGTCATGGTTGAAATGTTTTAATTGTGAAGGTGGTTTGTGTAAATGGTTTTTCCTTTTACCTCTGCTTATGCAGAAATCTGGTAATTAAATAGAAATGAGTTCTGTTTGCCTTATAATGTGATTATAACTCATCAGCTATAATCCTTGCAAGCAAAGCATGTTCCTGCAGATATTTTGACTTGTTTTTCATACAGAAGTGTTTTATCTAACGTGTTTTCAAGTTGATCCATCATTGTATACTCAGTTTTCTATCACTAGTTTTCACTTGCTAGAGTTGCACAGACTTTTCTTCTCCTTGGTTTTATACTGGGCAAGCAATTTAATTTCTGATTCTTGACCAGTATTTATGAAGGCAACAATCCTGGCAAAATTAATAGTGTCTAAAAGAATTGGGCTTATTTGTTCCAAGGTTGCATATCCTGTCCTACTGAGAAGGGGACACTCATAAAGGTTCCAGAATGTCAGTCAGAGAGAAAAATCCATGCCTTCAATGAGCCAAGTGTAGCAGGGTTCCTGAGGGAACATGTTCTCCCCACTGATACTGTGCAAAGCTCAGGAAAAGCCAGCACCCCTTACCAAGGCACCTTCCCTGATCTGACCCTGGAGAGATCCCAGACTCCAAGACTTTCCTGAGCCCACAGTCTCACTTTGGGCTTTAAAAGGTCCTGCATGTACATAAAGTTGAACTAAAGTGAGAAAGGCCAAAGATAAGGTTGGCTATGAAAGACGGATAGCAGACATTAGAGACAGATGGATCATTCCATTTTCTAACAGGTTTCCTGAGACCTGCCAGTCTAAGACAATAAACACTATGCAAGTCTCTGGATTCAACAAGGAACCTGGGCCTTTGGACCCTGGCTTCTCTCCTCTGCTCTAAAGATATATCTTTATGTTAAGGCCATGGGTCAAAGACAGACCTCTAGAGAAACACAAATTTTAAAGCGGCTCTCAGCTACTCTGGGGCCCCCTTACAATAATATGTTTTGTTGGATATTATTTCAAAATATGTATAGACCCTTTTGTGGTTTCCCTTGCTGGTGCTTGTTAAGAGCAGACTAAAAAGGCAAGAAATTCTTTTAGCATGAAGAAATGCATTTAATGAGTTCCAGGGCCCAAAATGAATTACTTCAGCCCCTTTAACAATCATCTGGATGCCATCGATGGTATTTTATTAGACAGGCATTTAATAAGAGGAATTCTGTGGGCCAGATTCTTCCCTACACGTGTGATTCATATCGGGCAGTTCCTCACAGGTTTATCTCACTAAGTCGTGTTACATGGCCTGCACTTAAAATGTGAATAGTCATGATTTTCTTCTCCAGAACTTCTTTGAAGATTCAAACCAAGTAATGCTTTAAAAAAAAAAAAAGGGCCAGGCCTGCAAAACAAAAATGCAGCTTCAGCCACTCCATTTCCAGCAAGCATACAAAGTCGTTTGCCCTGAATTCGCAGTATGTGTTAGCCCCAGAGTTATCTTGTGTTGTTAAGCTATTTCTCAAGGAGGGAAAAATGAAACAGTCGTTTTTAGTGTTGGTGAAAGGATGGCAGATGTACTTAGAGATACTTTGCCTGTCTAGACTCACTGAGCACATGCTTTTAGCAAACGTTTTCTACTTAGAGTAGTATTCCATGGCTCAGCATAGAATGGGTTGTCACAGCTGTAGCCACCAGTGAGCGAGTCAGTGAGTTACAGGCAGACTCAACTTAAAACTAACCAACCAGTTATTTGGACTTTATGTGCTTCTGTCCTTGTCCCTTGGTTTTGCCTGGGTCCTTTATTTTGGTTAGCTAGAATTTCAGGAGCCCCATTGTTAAATTCTGAGGGAGGGCTGTTTCTGGTTCATCTCTCCTGTGTATCCACGTT